CGTTATCATTAAATTAGAAATTCTTGTGGTAGAGATGCCAGTTCCCCATCTGCAGAGCAAGTCAGACACTGAATCTCAGTAAAAGTATCAGATGAGACTGTGGAAGGAAAAGAGTCGTAGTAGTTCCGCTCAGTGGTTTGACTGTATAGCTCCTGCCAACTAATGAAGGCTATACTAGCACCCCTTGATCATACTGCTATGTTCATAGAGATGTCTTTAAAAATTCAGGGGAAAAAACCTAAGAAAGTTAAGGAAAGTGAAAAAAAGCAAGCAGTAGAAGATAGAAGTTGAAGACTGCAAAATATCTTGGTAGATGAACTGAAACAGAGCAGCAGGGGATGAAGAGATTAAATGGAGGAAAAAAGCAATGTATTTTAAAATACTGTTTTGTTCAGAGTGAGCATGTTATTGCATGTACTTCTTTAATTTGTAGAAAATTAAGTAGAGAGGTTGACAAACGTGAGAATGTACAAGTGCTTCTGTAGAAAAGGAAAGGGAAATCAAACAGTCAGAAAATCACTTCAGTCTATTTGGAACTGTGAACATTAAAAATATATTGTCAGGAGAATGTTAGATTCAATTTGCAAATGACTCACCACCACAAAGAGTGAATAAGTAGCAAATATAATTCTTTAGTCCATGCTATGGATGTGAACAAATAGGAAAGTATGCATTCCATACAATTTATGTTCAGCTAGTTTTATGGAGACTCTGCTAATCCTACAATCAAAGCAGCTAGATGACATGGCAACAATCCTAACCTGGCACACATCTGGGTTGGGAAGAAATCAAACAGCATAGAATGGATTCAACCACCTAATCTGATGAAAGATCCCCAAATGCTATACTGTTGTCACTTCTCATGATTGGTATTCAACAGATTAAAACATTTGGGAGCATTTGCAAGGGAGGTTCTAGGCATAGGGAAGCACATGTCCCACACAATCCCTTGGAAACTGAGTTTTGTGATCCTGCAGTGCTGCAGTTTCCTTCAGAAATTATTCTCCCTTCTTCACTGACAGAAAGTGTACCAACAATCTCAGCTTGGTGCTATTGGACGTTCATTCCTAGCACTGCAACTTGGAGAGAATTCGAAGCACCAGAAACAAGATTAAGAGGCTTTAGTGACCGACTTAGAGGAAAGATTGAAAGTCTGAAATACATCTGGATTGCGTTTAAGAAGGCTTATCATAGATACCACAAAATTTTAAAACTCCCTTGAATCGTTGCTCTCCACCTGCGCAGTACTAACAGATTGTTACTCAGAATAATGAGATGGAGTCAGTAGAAGTGAAAGCTGAGTCTAGACACTAGGAAGCAGCGAAGAATTGTCTTCCCCAAAGGGAAAGTGGAAGACTGAAACTGTGACATTTACTCGGGTCTGGGCAATATCCTAGGAAATTACACTGGCACAGGCTGCCCAGAGAAGTTCTGGATGCCCCCTTCCTGGGCGTGCTCAAGGCCAGGCTGGATGGGTCTTTGAGCAACCTGGTCTAGTGGAACGTGTCCCTGTCCATGGCAGGGGGGTTGGAACTAGGTGATCTTTAAGGTCCTTGACAACCCAAACTATTCTATGATTCTATGGAAATGTCTAGTAGAGAACAATAAAACAACTACCTGTAGGAAGACTAAGTAACCTAATAAACTCTTTCCATCTTTAACTTCTGCAACTAAGCAGCAGCTTCCTGAATTTAGTATTGGTTGTTTGTTGCTCTCCAGGTTTCTTTCATTAGTGTTAAATTGTGCAATGGAGTTAATATCAATGGTTCTTTCATGTACAAGGAATTCCCCAGTTCTGGTCCAGTACCTGAATGGAGTAAAACTTTTCCAGTTATTTCAGTTGCACACATGGCAGGTCATAGTATGTCATTGTTTAGAATTTAAAAAAAAAAAATATTTGGAGAACACTAATTTTTAATGAAGGCTGTTATTAACTTGCCATTTAGTAGCTCATAAACTTTCAAGAGTAGGCCTTGGTGCCTAGAGTTTTCTCCATAACAAGCATGTAAATTTTCTTAAACTTCTGACAAGTGTCTAGCCAGTGTCTAGCCAGTGCAAGCTGAATCTTCCTTTGCCTTGTGATCAGAATAAAACCTGTAATCTAAGAAGTCACTTTGGATTTCAGGTGCAAAAGCAATTGTACTGTCAGGTGCAGCAAAAGCAGAGTAGGACCAGGGCTCCTGCCCCCATGTTCCAAGAAACGGTACAAGCGTGACGGTAATTTAGAAGAGGGCTACATTAAAGTGACACGAGATGGTTCAGGTCTTTTTTATGGAGAAAAACTGCCTTGCCAGAAAAAAGAGGTGAAGACATGGCACAACTTTTGTCATTTCACCTTCATGAAGTGATGCAAACTACTGTGTGAGGTCTCAGGGTGATCCAGAGCTCCGAGGCTTCTCAGTTTGTGAGATGGCTGAGAAATGCTTTCCTGGAGGAGTCAAAGAATGAACTGATAGAAAGCTCAAAGACAAATCCCCACTTTCCAGCCTTCAGCTTGTTATGGGAGCAATTGTTACAAAACCTGATCTCCATCCATGCCATTTTTTTCTAGCCAACACAGTGCTTGACTGAAGAGATGTTGACTTTACGAAGGTTAAAGGTGGCTGCCCCAACCAACAAATGGGATTCAGCCGGAGGGGAGGATTGTTGTTCTTTCTCCTTTCAGGAATGAAGTGTCAGGAAGATGTAGAGCTCAAATAGGCCCCTGCTGAGCAGCTGAGTGACAACACCAGCTGTAGAGGGTGCTGGAGCAATGCAAGACCTGAGGATTCTCACGTTTGGGAAGGCTATGCCATCTCCATTTCCCCACATCTGAAGTTAGAGGAATAACAGCAAGAGCTCCATCAGGAAAACAGGGTCCAAGCAGTTTAACTCAGAATGCAGGAACTGAGTCATGCCCTACACATAGACCTCTGCTTGGGATTTCTGAATCGGAGCTGGAAGCTGCCCCTGGCTGAAGTGAATACTAGACTAACGGACAATCCTCCCTTCCCTTCTATCCCGCCAAGTATATGTGCAAGGATATAAATGTTTGCATAATTAACTAGATAATTTTGTAGACTGAAGACAGACCTAGGCTTGAATTCATACAAATCCCTAATAACCTGTGTGACTGAAGTGAGTGGGTGTTATACATACAGCAACACCCACAGAGAATATAAACTAAATACTCTGCATTGGCAAAAAGTTCTGGAGACTGACTTAGATTCTGCCAGTGTCTGGAACATTTGCACCATTCATAAATTCATTATTACATGGCCTTTCAGAAAAAAAGAGCAGCCGGGGGGGTTTTCTTCCTGCCAGTGAGTATGAAATATGTTTTAATGTTTATTCTCTAATGTAACACTGAAACAGATTTAAATATTTAGGAGAGTTCTTCCTAGAGAATGAATTGAGTATCAGATATTTAGTATTTTGCAAGAAAGTCAAGATTCACGTGATAGAACAGAATTTGATGTCCTTGTTCAGACAGATCTGGACTAAACCCACTTGATTTCTTGGAAAAGGCCAAGCTCTAAGAACCAACAGATATATTAGGAAAAGCACTTTTTTTTTTTTTCCGTCCGATCACTTGAAATGTTACAATTCCGAGTTAAACAGAAGCCAAATAAAATTATCCCTTAAGCCCCAGTGAAAAACAAAGGCTCTGTGTCCATTTGCTAAATCTGTGTCTATGAGAGAACGCAAAACCCACCACAAACGG